GCTTATCTCCACAACGGTGACTTCAAATTGTATTATTTTCAATAAACATTAAGATCTAAATCTCTGTTAATTCTTAATAAGACAATTTGAAGTCACCATTGTGGAGATAAGCGTTTGCTTTAGTTGGGCTCTTGACCCTTGACTTTTTAACATTAGTTTTTCTCTGCAAATGCATTGGTTATGGTAAGAAAAACCAAGAGAAAATGGGTTTAGACTATATTTGCTGTTTTTTTGATAATGACATAGTTGTCATGTTGTAGCTAGGTTCACTGATGTCATCAGTGGTAATGAGTAATATAGTTTGTTATTTATCACAACTGCATATTAATGAAATAATATAAAGAGCTTTAAAAACACTTTGCACACCAGTTTAGAGCAGATGTACTGTTTAGACACGCAGACATCAAGAATCAGCTATGAATCTCAACAATGGTGACGAGCATCAGACAGATTCATGTTGCAGTGCATTCTGGGTGCACCAATCATAACTCATCCATGGCTCCCAGCATGCATTGCGACATGAATAAATTATGCAGCTGCATTGTCTTAGTATTTTCTTTTATTTTTACTATTTGCTTTTATTTTTTGTTGTGACTTTTTACTACCTTGTTTTGTCACGTTCAAAAATCACATAAAAATTATCAGAATATTTTGTCACCATTGCTGAGATTCACATGCTGATTCTTCATGTCTATGAGTGCCAGAATTGAAACCTCTTTATGAACCATATTTATAAAAGTCACTTATAAAGTTTTTCTCACATTGTTATCTCACATAACTGTAACGACATAGAAATCATGAAAGCGCTACAGTTTTAGATAAATTGCAATCAGAGACTCAGACACATGACATGATTTTATCATAAGTTCTTGCCATCACAAGGATATATCACATACATACTGATGAGCCATTATGTTATAACCACCTACAGTATCTCTTGCCATCACATGTGTGTTTAATATACACAATTGTGCCAGCCAAAGAGAAACTTAAACTTAAAAAGTCAAGGGTCAACTAAAGCAACCACTATTCACAAAAACGTTGAAGAAAAAAAAAACATCTAAACATTAATTCTGTTTTAGATACTCCAGAAATAAAGTCTAACTGGTTAGTAATGTGTGAAGCTGGTGATGCTGTTTGTAGAGTTGTTCAATCATCTTCTGCTGAGATCTTGAGAGATTTAATTAATTTAACACTCGGGAATTTACTGTGTACTGAATTCCTTCTCAGCTCTGCCCAGGCATTGCTGTTGATTTAACTGGGTTATCCTGTTTAAGAATAAAGCAGAAAGTTTTGATCAAAGTCCCTTTGTGTCGTTAGTATGATGTTCCTGTAACATTCTTTCAAAAAGTCTTTCAAACACCTGCTGTGAACAAGCACTGAAAGAAAGAGAAATAAGAACACAAACTACAACTTTCTTCATCCACAGCCTTAGATTAACTGAAAATAAAATATATTAAATCTCTCAAGATCTGTTTAAACAACTCCACAAACAGCATTCCCAGCTTCGTTTACAGTATTACTAACCAGATTGACTTTATTTCTGTCACGCGTCTACAGAAGTTCTTATTGAGAATTAACAGAGGCTTAGATGTTGACGTCTTATTGAAAATGTTTCGTTTTAGGTCACCATCATGGAGATCAGCATTTGCTTTTGTTGGGCTCTTGACCCTTGACTTTTGTTGAGTTGCTTCTTTTGCAGCAATTATAGGTGTTTTCAGAAAACATTTCTGTGTTGATACAGCAGATCAACATGTCTGTTTTAGTAAACAAACATTTCACAATACAGTCACACAAACACAGTCTGTTTTAGTCTTCTCTGTTTCTCCGCATCACCGTAGCGCCATTTTGGAGAATATCCAATGAACGCAAGCAGTGTATGCTCTTCTGTGTCAGCCGCGACACAAGGATATGTTTTCTATGTGTATTTACGCTTTGATTTGAACAAAAACAGCGTATCCGTGCGACACAGTGGTTATCCTCCAAAATGGCGCAATGGTGATGCGGAGAGACACAGAGGAGACGAGTTGTTGAATAAAGTCATTATTTTTGTTTTCTTCGCGTACAAAAAGTATTCTCCTCTTTAACCAAAAAAACTGACAGCAGACTAAGGCAGGGGTGTGCAAATAAGTTTTTCAGCCTGGTTCTCATAAGAGAACCTGGGCCCAGTTGTTCAAAAGTAATCCAGTGGGATTTCGGATCATGGATTGGATCAAATCTTGGAAATGGGTTTTTCAAAAGCAAAAGAGGGATTCTGAACTAAAATCAGAGCATGTAATCCGATCTTACATTTGATCTGGATCAAACCTGCCCTTTGTGGAGATTTGGTTTGGTCCTCATACTGCACATAAAGTGACAGTGTGACCCATTAAATATAACTATAAAAAAATAAATTCATAATAGTGATAATATTATTGCACTTTATTTAGTTAGTTTTTAAAAATAAAATAATAAACAAAATAATAAATTGTGATAATATATTTTAAAATAAAAGGGAGTATTAAATACAAATACAATTATTTTATAGTAAACTTTTTTTTTTTTAATGCTTAGTGTCACGATTCGCTGCCGGAAGGAACGCAGGAGACGCAGAGAAGCGTTAAACAGTCTTTTAATGAACAAACACAGGGAGGAAATCCACAACAGTAATGAGGAATGACGCACGAACATAACTTGGAGACCTGACAAAGAAACATGAGGCAGATTACAGATTATATACTAGACTTGACAAGGGATAGACAGGTGCGGGGAATCAACTAATAATCAAACTGAACGAGGACAGGAACATGACCAAATAAGGACAAACAGGAACAGAAACAGGGGCAAAACACGACACAGACAGTCCAGGGGTATATTACAAAAAGCAGGTAATGTGACTTACCTGGGTATGTTTGAGGATAAAAGAGCGGATAAACTCAGCTTCGGTTCCAAAATCGGAGGTTACTTTCAGGGTATGTAAGTAACCATAGCAACTTGCTCTCTGAAGATAACCGGAGCAGGTTATGTTCCAGGGTTAGTTTGTTTCAGAGAGGTCACTCAGCATGGCATGCCCTTTTGATGACGATCCTGTGGATGTAGAAGCACAGATTGTACGAGGTTTTTTGCACCGCGAGAGGGTGATAAGGCCACGTATCGGTGTGTTTTCATATCCGAATGAATATTTGCACGAGCGTTACCGTTTTTATAACTTTATCCGCTCCATGTCACACAAACATAGTCTAACCCCAGAGCTTAAACACAATCTCAGAGATCATTCATGATCTTCACTCTCTGCAGGTTGTGGGACTGCAGTATTGGAGAGGAAGGCTGTGCTGCTCTGATTTCAGCTCTGAGATCAAACCCCTCACACCTGACAGAACTGAATCTGAACTGTAATAATCCAGGAGATTCAGGAGTGAAGATGCTCTCTGCTCTACTGGAGGATCCACACTGTAAGCTGCAGAAACTACTGTGAGTATCATCACATCTTAGTAATTATACGGTTTTGAGTAAGAAGTAAAATTACACAAATGCACTGTTAAATAAAATCCCAATTTTACAAAAAATTATCGATTTTTTTCTGGTTGTTTTCTTTAAATTGTCTGCAAAATTCTGTAAAATTATCACTAAATTAACTACTCGGCTGTTATTTTAAGTATTATGACAAATTACAGCACTTCACGTTTTTATACAGAATAAATACTGTACTTTTATACAGTATTTATCTGTTTTCTTAAAGGGATAGTTCACCCAAACATGAACATTCTGTCATTAATTATTCACCCTCATGTTGTTCCAAACGCTTAAGACCTTTTTTCGTCTTCGGAACACAAATTAAGGTATTTTTGTTGAAATCCAAGCACTTTCTGACTCTACATAGACAGCAATGTAACTGAAATGTTCCCAGGCCCAGAAACACAGTAAGGACATTGTTAAAATAGTCCATCTAACATCAGTGGTTCAACCGTAATTTTATGAAGCTACAATAATACTTTTTGTGCACACAGAAAACAAAACTAACAACTTTATTGAACAATTCTTCTCCCCCACATCACCATCTGCCACCATTATCAAAAGTATCACGACCCATGTGTGTGGTGCTGCTGACGTAGAACACGCATGCACTGCACCTTGAGAAATGCACACGCATTTAGCACTACTACAATGTTACAATGTACCTTTGCTCTTGTGCTTCTTTGGTCAGCAGCAGTTTCCCCTGCTGGATGCTCCAGACAACTCACAATGTGGTAGAGTGTCTTTGCGTCATTACGATCCTCTGCTCATTGCGCTTCTTTGCCTTGTTTCTCAACTCATGCACGCTTGTCTTGCCAAAAGCTCCATTTGACTTGGCGATCTAGGGTGTGATACTGGTTAACAGCATACTCCTGGGCCTCTCAGGTTGGTGCTTGCTCACAGCGTTGCTTTACACGTCAGCATTTGTTGATCAGATTCTAGGACTTTTTACTAATCCACCACTCTTTATACAAGCCTCATCATCTACAATACCTCATCTCGGCACTTTCTACTTCCATTACCTGAAACAGTGTCCACTGATCTTCAAGGTTGGTTAGTTCTTCAAGCGCCTAAAACTGGTTCTGATGTTCTATCTGGAAGGCATTGGTGACAGCGGGGTCTTCAAGGCTAGCCACATTGAACGGACATTGTCATTTCGGTGGTATGGGGAGATGCTGGAGACGGAGGCCCCTCGTCATGCTTTAACATCACGCAGTGTCATTGCCACCTCTTTGACATGCAAATATAGTCAATGGCCAGATCTTTTTATGAATGGTTTGTGTTGATAGAATGTGTTGCCGATGGAGATGTTAATGGCTGCACAAAACCAGATAGCAACATAATGTCGGCCCACATCTGGAACATGTGGAATGATGATGAGCAAAGAAATAAACTACACTGGACCTTATCTGAGCCACAAAATCTTCATATATTATTTATAAGAGCTTGTCAAAGCTTGTTAACAAGCAAAACCACTGAAGGAAAGAAGAGAACAGAAAAAAGAGACAAACAGAAACTCAAAAACTACAACTGACTTAGATGAAATCAACTGAAGATAAAATACATTAAATCTCTGAAGATCTCAGCAGAGGAGGATTAAACAACTCCACAAACAGCTTTACCAGCTTCACTTATTACTAACTAGACTGACTTTTTTTCTGTTAGAGGTCTACAGAAGTTCTTATTGAGAATTAACGGGTTTAAATCTAACATTTGTTTCATTTGAATGTGAAACATTTTCTGTAAAATATAAATCTCTTCCAGTTAACCATTAACTAGCAACAGCACACATGCTTGAGCTAATGTAACTATCATTGCATCAGCAATACACAGTTACTGCCTTTAAATAAAGCTACATTTAGCATAACATCAATGTTTCTTGGTCTTCTGAAGCACAAGACTCTACTCTTCAGTTCTAGTAAGAACTCTAGCTACTGCATTTTGGACCAGCTGGAGTTTGTTTATTAAGGGTGCAGAACAACCCCACCCAATAAAGCATTACAATAATCTAACCTTGAGGTCATGAACACATGGATTAAAATTTCTGCATTTGACATTGAGAGCATAGGTCGTAATTTAGATATATTTTTGAGATGGAAAAATGCAGTTTTACAAATGACATGCAGAGTTTTTAGGTCCTATAATTAACGCCTCTGTTTTTTTCAGAATTAAGCAGTAAGAAATGACTCATCATCCAGTTATTTATATCGACTATGCATTCCGTTAGTTTTTCAAATTGGTATGTTTTGCCGAGCCGCGAAGAAATATAGAACTGAGTATCATCAGCATAACAGTGAAAGCTAACACCGTGTTTCCTGATGATATCTCCCAAGGGTTCCATGTGACATTATTAAATCTAGAGTAAGATTTCGACAATAAGTAGGTCCTGACACGTGTTGTCTAACCCCAATAGAGTTCAGAATGTCTATGAATGCTATGGTGGCTGGTGTCTCTATTTTCACGTTCCGTACAATAGAATCGCCAATAACTAGAGCACTTTGATCAGGTTTCTCAGCGGGTGCGTCACTGAGTGGGGAGAACCTGTTTGATGTTTTGATCGGAACGGAAGAGCGGTGTTTTGACCCGCGACTATGCCACCTCACAGTCACCCAGTTTCCCTGCTGCGGAGGTTCTGTAATCGGAACCGAACATTGTATAGGACTCCCTGAGCTAGTCGTATCCAAAGCCGACTAGCTTTATCTAGCATTATCTAGGGCTACAGCCCTCACATTCTTACTGTCCTCAAAAAAGTTTGGATGCGTGTCTCTAATTCTGAAATCTTCTAAAAGCTAAACTATACATGTGGCAAGCGGTGCAAACAACAATAGCAGGAGAAGAAGCCATTACTCACTGTGATTGATGAATGGTTCTGACTACTGTATAAAAATACAGTAATTTTTCTGCATAAAAAATGTGAATTACTGTAATTTGTCATTAATGTCATAATACTTAATACTTACTCAATTTTTTTTACAGTGTAGAATATTCATCACTTTATAAAGATTTACAAACACTTTTCAAATCTGACACATTTTTATTGAAGAGATGGAGATGAGTAGTGTTACATTGTTTCAATAACAAACCTTTAAAACATGACTATTAATTATTGACTTTACTTGTTTTTCTCTTTCTCTCTGCAGGCTGTGGAGCTGCAGTATTGGAGAGAAAGGCTGTGCTGCTCTGATTTCAGCTCTGAGATCAAACCCCTCACACCTGACAGAACTGAATCTGAACTGTAATAATCCAGGAGATTCAGGAGTGAAGCTGCTCTCTGCTCTACTGGAGGATCCACACTGTAAACTGCAGAAGCTACAGTGAGTGTTATATTAACCCTCTGAGGTCGAAGCCCACACCGCTGCGGTCTGTCTTGTATTTTCTTGATGACCACGAAAAGAACTAAAAATACTCTGTCATTTTTGATCGTGCAGATAAGAATAAGTTATTGTTTGAAACTGCAAAGGGTCTAATTGACCTTCACTGTGTATATTTTTATTATACTGTGTTGTAAATAAAATACAAATAATACAAATAACAATACAAATACAAATTATCAAAAACCCACATTATTTTACTCTCGTCACACTCTTTCTTACCTGCCTCAGTCCCTTTCATATCGATGGCCCATTCTGGGAGGCCCTTGTTTCTCAGGTGTGAGTCACTAAATATTCATGGCCATTGTCACTCCCTCGCATACACCTTTCTACCACAAATCATGTCCTACAAAAGTTAAATGAATATATTTTTTCTGTGAACGAGTGAACAGGATGATTTTCACATCATTTTGTAGCAAAAACTCTAGTTTACCACATCCAGTTCTCAAAAGTCTTGTGAACAAATGTTCTGTATGTTTTATGGCCTTATTTCAGTGACTTAAAAATTTTAGTTTTTCACTAACCACGCATAAACGTTGTTTTCTCAAAAACATGTACTTTCATGCTGCTCACATATTATTGTAGCCCAGTTTGTGCTGAATACAGTGTTATCAGACTTTATCCAATAATATGTTTTTAAGATACTGAAAAAACACAAATGTCAGGGCATGTCAAAACTTCTCCAGGGCCCCAAAACACCCTCAGAACCCAGAAGGTTAATTAACACACACACACACACACACAAAACTGTGTGAAAATACTGCCAAACAAAAACATTTAAAGGGGTCCTATTATGCTCTTTTACAAAGTCTTGATTTTGTTTTGGGGGTGTACTAGAACATGCTCTCATGCTTGGTGGTTCGAAAAACGCATTATTTTTCACATAATTTACATTATTAAAATACTTTTCTCCCCATCCTGGCGCAAACAGCTCGATTAGTTCCGGCTTTGATGAAGGTCCGCCTTCCGAAAAACAAAATGTGTTGTGATTGGTTAGCTGTCCCAGTGCATTGTGATTGGCAAACAGCTTAGACGGTGTTTCAGTACTGCCACGCCCCTTGCTCCGTCTTTCAACAAAAGCTTTTTGGCGAATCCGGCAGGCACTGTACTCCCTCATGTTGTGGAAGCTGTTCTCAGTAAAATGCGCAGCACACAATAGCAAATTGGGGTTATAATGCTCAGGGACAGAGTTAAAAAATAAATTGCAACCACTGTTTCCTGACATCATCCGCTTTCGGAAGCCCAAACAAAGACGTTTGGGCATGGAGGTGAAAAAAACAGCGTTTCAGGCGGTCGTAGGGGGTAATAATTTGACAGGGGGTCAAAACTGGGCACAACAATTCTGATGATTTTTTTTTACCCTGTCAAATTTTGCCACCTCCCATTAAAACAGCAGGGACCGTAATTCAACAGCGAAAAATGCTACATGTCAGATTGTGCTTCCAGCATGATATTAATGTGGTTTGAGGCTTTATTAAGACCTACACCTACCCCAAACCTAAACCTAACCTTACAATATTAAAAATACAGTTGGTAGCATAATCTGATAGGTAGCATTATTTGTTACAACACCTGGAGTCACGTGCATCTGTAGACTAGCGCAGGTTTAATTCTAACACTTTAATAGTATTTATAGATCCTAACAGGCTGTGCAACTATGAGGAATGATTACCTCAACATGTATATTGGTATGCAGTATATCCTTATTGCTTGCGTGCCAGTTATTATCCCTTTGTGTACCATAGATTGCTGACCCCTGGCCTATATGGTACTACAAAAAGTTTGAAGAATGAAAATTATAAACTAGTTCAGTATCACAATTAGGAATCACGAGATTTGTGTGAGTATTCATTAGAGATGCACACAATATATGACTGACAAATCATTAAATAGAATATCCATCACTAGCTTGTTCTAATCTGAATAATGTGTGAAACTTTGTATTATGAGCACTTCCTGTGTTTATTTGTCTCTTATGATGAATAGCTTCTTGTATTTCTCAATTGTAAGTAGCTTTGGAGGCGTTGTCAGGAACACAACACGGACACAGATGCAGGCTTCAGCAGGAAAACTGTTTATTTTTAATAAGTCCAAACAAAAAGGGAAATTCCTCAAAAGAACAAAAATCCAGCCGGGGTATTTAGGAAAATAATAGTCCAACAGAAACAATGAGCAAACAAAAACATCCTTGCAAAAAACACCCGGCAGAGGGCGCTCAATGGCGCGGCCGCATGGGGAATTAGAGAGCGGAGAGGGAAGGAAGAAGCTAGGGAGCCGGCGTCCGAGTGGAGTGAGAGAACTTCTGCGGGGATGCAGATGCCCGGCCTAGGAAATGAGGAAGGAGAAATAGAAAAACAAAACAACTGGAAGAAGCAACAAAAAACCTGACAGGGAGCCGACAATGGCACGACTTAACAGGACTCGACAGGACCAGACGGGGCGGCTGAGCATTGGCGAACTGGCGAACAACGATCTGGCACCGGACGACACACAAGAGGGGAATAAATAGAGCGAGAGATGAACAAAACATTGAATTCAGGTGAGCGAAATCAACCAATTATGAGCAGTAAGGGTGGTAACGAGAGGGAGGGAGGAACGCCACAGAGGAGTACACGGCGAACGATCAAAACAAAACACCATGTGCTCACAACATGCAGACAGATACAAAACACGACAACCGAAGGACAGGGTGATCAAACCGAGGACATGACAGTACCCCCCCTCCGACGGACGCCCCCAGGCGCCGCAGGAAGGGGCTCACCTCGTCGCCGACAGAAGTCGAGGGGCAGAGGGGAATACAACACAGGTTTAACCCTCGAGACATGAAAAACAGGGTGCACCCGACCAAGCGTGGTAGGAAGCTTGAGCCGCACCACCGGTGGACTCAGGACCTTGGTGATCCGGTATGGGCCAATGAACCTGGGTGCCAGCTTGCGTGAGGCTACCCTGAGAGGCAGGTCCTTGGTGGAGAGGTGAGTGCCGTTAAGGGTGCAGCAATCTGACCAAAGTTCCGGATGAAACGCCGATAAAAGTTGGCAAACCCCAGGAACCGCTGCAGAGCCTTACGAGAGTCAGGAGCTGGCCACTCAGCAACGGCCCTTACCTTACAGGGGTCCGCTTTGATCTCTCCCGCAGAAATGATGAAGCCCAAAAACGGAACCGACTGGGCATGGAAGACGCACTTCTCCGCCTTGACATAAAGCTGGTTCTCCAGCAGGCGTTGTAGCACCTGGCGAACATGCTGAGTGTGTACCTGCGGAGACGGAGAAAATATCAAGATATCGTCAAGATACACGAAGACAAAGTGATTCACCATGTCTCTCAACACGTCGTTAACCAGGGCCTGGAAGACAGCTGGGGCATTGGTCAGACCAAACAGTAGGACCCGGTACTCAAAGTGTCCCATGGGTGTGTTGAAAGCTGTCTTCCACTCATCCCCCTCACGTATGCGAATCAGGTGATAGGCATTCCGGAGGTCAAGCTTGGTGAAGACCGGCCGACTTGGAGAAACGGTCCATCACCGTGAGAATGACGGTGTTGCCTTTCGATTCAGGGAGGCCAGTGACAAAATCAAGGGCCAAGTGTGACCAGGGGTGGAAAGGGATGGGCAAAGTGTGGAGCAGACCAACAGGAGGCGCATTGGAAGTCTTGTTCTGAGCGCACACTGAGCAGGCAGCCACGAACTGCCTGACATCCTTGGCCATGGACGGCCAGAAGAGGGCCCAGCGAGCCTGTCGGGAGCTCAGCCTCCTGGCTGAACGGATATATTCAAGGTTTTTATGATCTGTCCAGACCAGGAAGGGCTGAGCTGCACCCTCCAACCAGTGACGCCACTCCCCCAAAGCCAGCCTGACCGCCAACAACTCCCGATTACCTATGTCGTAATTCCGTTCTGGGGGACTCAAGACCTTGGCTCCCTGCAAAAGCTCAAAGGCAGACGACATAAGAGGCAAGGGGTACCTGTTCTTTATAGTGATGTCGTTCAGGCCTCGATAATCTATACAGGGACGCAGGGAGCCGTCCTTCTTCTTGACAATGAAGAACCCGGCACCTGCGGGAGATGAAGAGGGTCGGATGAGACCGGCTTTGAGGTATTCGTTAATATACTTGTCCATGGCCTCTCTTTCAGGACCGGAAAGGGAAAACAAGTGACCCTTAGGCGGAGAAGTGCCTGGGAGGAGCTCAATGGCACAATCATATGGGCGATGCGGAGGTAAGGAGGTGGCCCGGGACTTGCTGAACACCAGGCGCAGGTCGTGGTACTCTGCCGGGACCCCGGTCAAATCAGCCGCCTCCGCCTGCAAGACAGGGCACACAGACACAGGAAAAGAGGCAGCACCCAAACAAGATGAAAGACAAAACTGGCTCCATGACAAGACGGAGTTGCTAGACCAATCCACGTGAGGGCCATGCTGCACCAACCACGGGTGCCCCAACACTATGGGAGCACTCGGGGATTCAAGAAGGTACAGCGTGGTCACCTCACGGTGATTGACGGAGACAATAAGAATGACAGGAGGGGTAGCATAGGAGACAGTAGTGATTAAAGTGCCATTCAGGGAACGGGCAGGAATAGGTTCAGGAAGAGGAATGGCAGGAATCCCCCACTGGGTGGCTAGAGAGCTATCCATAAAGTTGCCCTCGGCTCCTGAATCAATCAGTGCCGAGCAGGAGTTAGAAAAGTCACCAAACTGAATAGAAACAGGAAGGAGAGTACGAGAGTAGGGGGAATGCAATAAAGGGGTAGCGCTCACCAGGATCCCCCTCTTTACTGGCGAGCCTTGGCTTTTAAAGGACAGCCTGCTGCGAAGTGACCAGGCTTGCCGCAGTACAGGCACAGCCCTAGGGCAAGACGTTGCTGCTTCTGTTGGGGAGTGAGGCGAAGGCGCCCCACCTGCATAGGCTCAGGCTCAGTGGAAGTTGTGTTCAAGAAGTCTGTAGGG